GATAATTCTTTGTCTAATTAAACATGTCGTTTAGTCGTTCTGCTATATAGTGGATGATAATTTGTAATAGAAACACAATAGGTTTTATCAATGGAATAAAATTAGTTTCATTCAAACTTTCGAATAGTAGTACACAACAAAGTATTCCATGTTTAAGATCTCTTGAATGTTGAATGTCTTCTCGAGGTGGTGCGTGAAGTTTAGAGTAAAGCTAGTAGATACAAATAGCAATAAGTTATATTTTGTTAACCACCAAAAAAATTTCATAACGAGATACTATGTGCTATTTCCGCACACGCTGGCCATATCTAAATGATTATACTACATTGAAGTTATCGCATGATTATCTTCAGGTTTATTTTCGAAACATCCCGTCCTGCCATGTCGCGAAACAGAGCACAAGATGGAGGCGTCGATGGCAGGTTTTCAAACGAGTGTGCTAGAGTTCGCCGCGCCGCCTGTAGTAGGTTGTGAGCAGGAGGCGCGAAGCTCAGAATCCAGGGGGCCGTGAGCGCACCGCGAGCGCGGCCAGCGACGGCGTCGCGCCAGATTGGAGCAGCGCTGCAGGATGGGACGGGGCCATTCGCACTCTCCGACGCCCCCTGGACGAGCACGGAACAACAAGAGCAGCGGCCTGCGGCGACGGCAGGGGAGGCTGGAGAGAAACCCAGCGCCGCCTAGGGGCGCTGCCGACCGCTCCTCTTGGCAGTCTGCTCCTCGCCACGTCCGACTCATCGAAAACTCGTCGCAGAGCGCGGATGGCTTCGTCCCGGTCCTGCAGCTTCTGCTCCATCTGGCCACCTCTTTGCGCCCTCGTAGATTCCTTCCTTCTCTCCTCCTCTCTCTTACTTCCGTCCCGGCAGCCTCAAAATGTCCCTCCGCGCCCTGGCAGACCCAGCGACAAGCAGGCGAAGAGCAACTAGAACGACGGATGAAAAACTCGAGCAAGCTCTTCCTCTTAATCCTAGCCTCACCAGGATCACAGGCCACCTATGATTCTTTTATACCTTTAAATTCTTTTGAGAAATCAAAAATCAGTGATATTGTTTATGGTGAACTAAAGAATGTACTATTGGGAATAAAACGTATGTACAATAATTTAAATTTATTTTATGAATAAAATTATTTTTGTACAAAGCTTTACCGTTTACATTCAGTAAGATCTGTGTTTTCTCAAAGCATCGTACAAAAGGGTAGCTTTAATTTATTACGTATGAAATCAGTGCTACGAATGTTATTATGATGCGAAAAAGGCAAATGCGGAATGATGGATTAAAAGAAGGTCCATCCGCTCAGAAAATCCTCACTGATGTTTGCGATGCGTGTAGCTACGAATATTTTAAATCTATGTCATAAAAGGGATATTTAACTGCCGTGATTCCCAGTGTATAAACTTTGGTAATCAAAGAGTATTCATTTTTCCACTGAAGTGTGTTCATTGGAAAAAAAGGTGTGTTCGACCCATCTCCATGCTCTAATGCAGTTTGTAACATGTATTTTTAATCACTCTGTACAACATATAATACAATATCGTAAGTGATAGTCTCTCCAATGACATCGGAATAACAAAATTCTAGTTTCACGTCACAGGCTTAATACATAATTATCGAGACATACTAATTTTATTTACTGAACATTACTATGTTACAATTAAAATTTCTGAAGATTTTGATAACAATCTCGCCTCACTTTACCTTTTTATAAATTTTTCAGGAAATATAGCATAATTGGTGATAAAATAAATAACGAATATCACATCTGAGCCTTTTATAAAGTGTATTTATTTTGAAATTTAAATAAATATGTATATTTGAACCAGTGGCTTTGAATAACAATAAATTGAGATATTTCAAGTGTAATAAGCAATTGTATTTATTAAAATGCTCCCGTGCAGTACTATCTAATTACATCGTCCCTCTTATTCCATCTGTGGGAAAAAAATTCTCCAATGATTGCCACTAAGATGTCTACACTGAAGAAAGAATTACTGTCTTCACAATGTCAAGAGACAGTGTATAGAAGCGTTTACCCTCAGCTGGCAGACAATAACACATGCCACGCGATCCAAGCGGGTAGAGAGAATGGTAGATGGCTATTGCCGGTGACAAAATCCTTGGCAGAGGTTGTGGGACTTATCCGGTGTTTTAGGCAACATGAAATCCCGCCTACGTATATTTTCATACCATTCGTAAAGAAATTTTTCTATTTGTAGATACCGTAACAAGGGTGATGTGTTTTGTGAGTTCCAAAGAACTGCAATACATCTAAAAGTTCAACCGACCGAGGCATTATGCAGATTTGCAACCTAAGAGAAACAAGCAAAATTAAAATAATTTCTTTGAATTTACAGATGGCCCGCATTCATGGGATGAAAAAAGGTTTTTGCAGATAGAAGGTTATGGGGAAAGTACATAACAGCACAAAGATTTACAACATTCTCAAACAAATCTGTGCATGAACTATTTAATCTTAGAGTCCATCATTCTCCGAAGCGACATATCCCTGGTATCAATTTGTTAACATTCACAGCATGACACACATGTCACTTTGGCACGCGTTTCTCTATGTATGTCGACACCCTGAATGCGAAATCGAAAATAGAATTACAACACAACCTTTCACTTGTTTTTTAATCGCGGAAAACCATCGTGAAATTGTCTTTGTACATTTTTCTGTGATTTTTGCGATTAAAAAAACTGGAAGTGGGTAGCAGTATTCTAGTTTCAGAATCGAATTCAGCGCGTGACACACATAAAGCTACATGTGACAAGTCTTGGGGTCCACAAAGTGTTTCTATTTTGTTTGTCTGTGTTTTTGGTTCAATACGAACTAATATGCTTATATTACGTAACATTGTATAAAATATTGTATTATAATGTTAAAACTGTCATCTCAAATAATGTTTTGTGTTAGAAGAATGGAAGTGGAAATACCTGCAAAAGATTCGGATATTGCTTTGTGTAATAAAATAATCAACATTCTACTTTTTTTTAAATGTTTCACATTGCTCTTGAATCAAAAAAAAAATTCAATACTAATTTCCATTTTAAAACGTAATTATCAAGCTATCTTTTCCTTCCATTTCCGACCTCCATGTGAACACTGTATGCCCGCTTTGCTCACCCTCTTAGTTAGAAGCAGGCGAGCCATTTTGGTGACGTCACAGACCATTGAGTTGGCAAACATCGTTCTTCAAGTTCAAGGTACTTGCTCGCAGGGAAATATTGTTGAGGAAATCTTTTCTGATTATTCCATTAAATATTCGATAATTAATACTCAATACATATTGTTGCCAATTCAAATATTTTTGTCTTTTACAATTGTGTACACTGCTTTTTTATGGTGACTCATTTTTTCATCTCACAGCGGAAGGAGACAGTTCGCAGATAAATTAAAGGCTTTTAGCCACTGTGCTATTAAGAAGATAAGGTTTCCTGGAAGAGTGGTAACGAAGCATGGAATGATAAGAACTTGGGAAGTCAGCGAGGGTTGATAACTGGGAGGTTAGAGAAGACGTTAAAGATGTCCGTTGCTATTAAAAAATGTTATATATATTCGTGTTTTAAGATTCATGCATTTAATTGTTCATGTAAAAGAATCTTCCTTTCCATTACCAGAAACCAGAATTTTCCTCTGGAGATAGATTGTTGCCGGAGCATTATTCATATCCATTATCATTATGAAAAATAATTCTTTAAATTATTTTAGGTTACATTTTTTCTAAATATCTATCATCATTTTTTGTATTTTGATACGTTGGAGTGGTATTAAAGTGAATGTATTGATATTCTATACCTCTCGGTTTCATCCAAAGTGACATGCGATTAGTTGAATAAATTTTTTTAGCCCAATTTTCCTAATAATGACTCAATATTCTTGAATTATCTTATAATATCGTTTTTAGTTTCTCTAGCCAAGAGCATTAACCCCTAAACATTCTTCCAAATAGCACCTTTTAATAGCGTAATGTTTTAAACAAATGATATGACATTTTTTTGTTTCCATCAGAACAAATTGGTATTGAAAAATCTCATTTTGCTACTAGACCCCTCCTTTATGTTAATATTTGCTCTGAAAGAAACATTTTAGGTCCAAGTGTCAATGCAAAGAACAGTTCTCTCAGAAACTTAGCACGTTCGCTGTAGTGTACACTACTTTTACTTTAGGCAGATTGTTTGGAAGATTTTCTGTAAATTTAATTCCAAGACATTTTATTTATTACCGTACTCGATGTATTATTTTTTCACATTAAACATAAAATATACTTTAGATTATTTTAATGAAAAAACGTTTCAAGACGATAATATCTGTCGAAGAAAACAAAACCAAATTCGGGAAGAAGTTTTTGAGAAATGCCTCTAAAAATACTTCTTCGACGGTCTGTCTATTTCGAAAAGACTTACGGAAAATACACTCTCGATGTTTGTTACACTGATCGATATTTTTTGAATTCGAACTGACCTGTTGTTCAAATTTTATTTGTAAGATTTATTTCGCAAATATATTACAGTTTGATTCAACATTCCATGAGTGAGAACTGAAGCATTTTATATATGCAATAAGAAGAAATAAAAGAGAATATAACGCACATTCCTTTTTATTATTAAAAAATACCATTATTCAATATTGTTTGAAATTGAGAGTCCTCGCCCTGTAGTACCTAACGTAAAATTATGTAAGTAAACAATATACTGAAACTACATGAATTAATATGGCACCTCACATATTGAAAATAATCTCATGATTTGATACTTGTATGTTTCCATGAATTAGGATCGTTAAATAATGTTTGCAACTCGTACGAATGTGTTTTGGCACACTCGTTTCCAAATGCACTTCTCGGCTCCTATTGTCACCATACTGACGTAAACCACACGTAAGCCAAAGACTCAGTTTTGCTCGAGTTACATAAATGACTATTGTTACAGTTTGTATTTATATGCAACTTATGTTTGTTTTCAACTTCAATTTTTAGTTTATTATTTGGATTTAAATTATATTTTCTTGAATATTATCTCAAAACATCTTTCCATTTACAGTGCGTACGTTGCTGTGACATTGGATTAGGGAAGAGAAAAGTTGGAGCTCTTTTGCAATATATTTTTGTTTGTAAATTGCTTAATTTTCAAACAAACATGACACAGAAACTCCTTTGTTTTCAAAAGCTATGCATGATCTTATTTTAAAATATTTTAGAAAATATTAGATGAAGAAAAATAATTCTATCACCAATGAAAATATGAAGACGGAAAACAAAAGATGAAGATAAAAGACAAAGGGAAAACGAAAATGAAAAAGAGTTTAAGAAGAAAGAAAAAGTTCGAAAATGGGACGATAAGAAGTCGAAGGAAACAACAAGGAAGAATAAGAAGCAA